TAGTTAGTTAGTTAGTAGTTAGTTAGTTAGTTAGTAGTTAGTTAGTTAGTTAGTTAGTATTCGTAGTTAGTAGTTAGTTAGTTAGTTAGTTATTAGTTAGTGTTAGTAGGTAGTTAGTGTTAGTTTAGTTAGTTAGTTAGTTAGTTAGTTAGTTAGTTAGTTAGTTAGTTAGTTAGTAGTTAGTTAGTTAGTTAGTTAGTTAGTTAGTTAGTTAGTTAGTTAGTTAGTTAGTTAGTTAGTTAGTTAGTAGTTAGTAGTTAGTTAGTTAGTTAGTTAGTTAGTTAGTTAGTTAGTTAGTTAGTTAGTTAGTTAGTTAGTAGTTAGTAGTTAGTTAGTTAGTTAGTTAGTTAGTTAGTTAGTTAGTTAGTTAGTTAGTTAGTTAGTTAGTTAGTTAGTTAGTTAGTTAGTTAGTTAGTAGTTAGTTAGTTAGTAGTTAGTTAGTTAGTTAGTTAGTTAGTTAGTTAGTTAGTTAGTTAGTTAGTTAGTTAGTTAGTTAGTTAGTAGTTAGTTAGTTAGTTAGTTAGTTAGTTAGTTAGTTAGTTAGTAGTTAGTTAGTTAGTTAGTTAGTTAGTTAGTTAGTTAGTTAGTTAGTTAGTAGTTAGTTAGTTAGTTAGTTAGTTAGTTAGTTAGTTAGTTAGTTAGTTAGTTAGTTAGTTAGTAGTTAGTTAGTTAGTTAGTTAGTTAGTAGTTAGTTAGTTAGTTAGTTAGTTAGTTAGTTAGTTAGTTAGTTAGTTAGTTAGTTAGTTAGTTAGTAGTTAGTTAGTTAGTTAGTTAGTTAGTTAGTTAGTTAGTTAGTTAGTTAGTTAGTTAGTTAGTTAGTTAGTTAGTTAGTTAGTTAGTTAGTTAGTTAGTTAGTTAGTTAGTTAGTTAGTTAGTTAGTTAGTTAGTTAGTTAGTTAGTTAGTTAGTTAGTTAGTTAGTTAGTTAGTTAGTTAGTTAGTTAGTTAGTTAGTTAGTTAGTTAGTTAGTTAGTTAGTTAGTTAGTTAGTTAGTTAGTTAGTTAGTTAGTTAGTTAGTTAGTTAGTTAGTTAGTTAGTTAGTTAGTTAGTTAGTTAGTTAGTTAGTTAGTTAGTTAGTTAGTTAGTTAGTTAGTTAGTTAGTTAGTTAGTTAGTTAGTTAGTTAGTTAGTTAGTTAGTTAGTTAGTTAGTTAGTTAGTTAGTTAGTTAGTAGTTGCTAAGTTCTAGTTTACTTCGAATCATAATAATGGCGTTCGTTATCATATAACGATTTTCGTTATCGTAAAGCACTGATTTTCTTCCCTTGACCGGGAAGTTAACATTAACAGTTCCCACATTATTTCTCCAAGTGTATAGTAATATTTTTTGCCAACTTTTTTGTATATTTATTTTTTGCTAAAAATATTTTTATCTTTATTTATAACGAACGCCATTTATGAGGTGTGTATGACTGTAAGTGAGCATTTACAGAGTGGTGGGTCGTGTAAAATACGAAAAATAAAAATATTACAAAAAAATTTAATGTTAAATCGGTGTTGAAAGTTTTAATTTGTTGTTGCAGTGCTGTTTTCATAAATATATTGTATATATACATTTTTTATCCGCTTCAAGAGGTGTTTATTAATTTAATTTTTTTCTGCGCCACACATTCATTTTGTTTTTTATAAATATTTTATTACAACGACTAACAACACAAGAGTACCCTCAGACATCAGAAGGGGAGTGGTGGTATAAATAAGTAAAAACTGTTTTGCATATTTCATTAATAAGCCTGTCAATTGAAGTGTTTATTAGCATGATATTGCACGTTTAAATTAAATGAATTTCTCGTTTTTAGTTTTTTTTTGTTGCTCTCTTGCAAATTTGTTATCAGCAACAGCAGTAATATTAACAGCATTTTCAATTAATCATTTATTAATTAAGTGCTGTTGCCGGCAATTAAATGTAAAACATTTTAATACTTAATAATGTTGATTTTGTATATATGTACATATGCACATATGTATTTTGTTTTAATAACTTACCCAAAATATCCGCTGTAGGATCTTTTTCACAGAAATTGGGTGATCTTTGATAGTAGAATAGTGAAGTTTCTAATTTGCGGGCAGATCTTTGAGCATTCTTTTCCGTATTCACTTTTGTATTCGAGGGTCTTTCGTGTCGCTCATTGGTTCGTTCGGTATTGGTTAAACCATTATTGGATTTTTTATTACGTGATCTTTTTAGCACCACTATGGGTTCTCCATTGCCCAGGTTCGATTGATCAACGAGAAGAGCTCTTCGAAATTGATGTTTTAATACTTTGCCAACAACATGAAAGTCAGGAGCAGATTTCCAGCATGTTTTCAATTGGCAACTTCCAGACATGCCGTGACATTTACAGCGAAATTCCATATTATTGGAAACGGCCTGTAAAAGGCAGAGTTATTACAATACAACCGAACTTAAAAGAATTAAAAACAAAAGCGTATCAAAAAAAAAAAAAAAAAAACTACTCCAATTCCAAAATGTTTTAATAATCTGAAATATTAACATTTCCTTTATCTTCTGAAATTTACTTACTATTCTCCCAGCATGATTATTGTGTAGATTTATTTTTGATTGTATATCGCCAGCTTTTTCTCGACAATCCAGAAATAGCTTTGAGAATTCCACACCAAAATCCATATTGTGTGAACAACCACCCCATTTCCATCGGCTGGCAATTTTCGAACGTTCATATTTCTTTTCATCTTCAGCCGTTAAGATTTGATTCGTTTCCAGATATTGTAGAAATTGTTTCTTTTCCTTGTCTAGACTTTGTCTGAGATTTTTATTAAGAGTTTTGCGATTCACCGAAGGATCACAACCGCATGACATTAAACGTCCCTGACTGCAGGCACGAGCCACACTATGAGCTACGCCAGCAGCGGAGATGGCGAAGGCAAAAGCACTTTCTCTATAGCCTGAAAAGAAGGAGAAAGAGAGGAAATTACAAAAATTACATATAAACTATTAAACATAAATAATTAAATCACTTTTGCCTTTCCTTTTACTTAAACAAAATATTTGTACTGTTGTACTAAAAGATCTCATGCCTTACTTCAGTGGCAAGTAGTGTGAAAAGGAAATCAAAATGAAAACAGAAAACAACAACAGAATAAGGGAAAATGACCTTCTTGAAAATGTTAAGAATGCCCTTCTACTATATTTGCACTGAATATTAAACAAAGCCAAGTAGTCGAGTAACATATGCAGTAAACTTACGCTTTTATACTAATCTCCTGATGCCAACCTTAACGTTTCCCATGGGATTTGTTGCACAGCATTTTTGCGGCACTATTTCTCTTTTTTTTCTGTAAACTTTTGAAGATCAACAATACAAATAAATAAACAAACAAACATAATTCCACAACATAAAAAACAGTGTCAAAAGACACATTTCAGTAAGTGTGACATGCCGTTGTGGAGAAGGTTTAACGTGTGGCCGCTTTAATGCTGATTTTGAACTGCCTACAGACCTAAGAAGACTTCTTTCTGGTTAACATTGTAAGCTGTACCCAAATAGTACGTAAATGATTGGCATTTTACTTTTGTTTTGTTACGCATTGTCAATATCGCCATAAAGAAAACGAACTCCAAAAAGAAGTCACTACAAGGACATTGAAAAAAAAACCTTTAGATTTTAGCATTAAAATGAAATAATTTCCCATCTTAAATCCAGTCCATTTGAAGTGTTTTTTACACACAAAATACTCACTCGTCTCTTAGCAAAAAATGTGATGAATCTTTCTAAAGTGGTAGTGGAGTAGTTATAGAGATTGTATGTATTGTGGAAATATGTACTAACTAAAGATTATCTCAAGAATTTGTCTACATTTTTCTCGTACAAGACTAATTAAAAAAATGTTCAGTTAACTGTCTTAGTGGAAACAAAAACTCCTAGATGCAAAACTTCAATCTTTAAGTGTTTTTAAACCTAGAACAAA